TTTTTCTACATGAACAATGAGTCAAATGACTACATATAACCAGGCATTTTTATGCAGCTTTAAAGAAGTAAACATTTGGAAAGTGTATTCTATCATGCTATCAATCACAACTTCCTAGGCTGATGTAAAGCTTGTTCCTGTGAGGTTGTTTTAAAAATCTACTACCTGACACTATTGGTCAAGAATCAATTGATGCAGCTTAACCAAAGGGTGCTTATTTGGGATTCATAAACTGATCAAAAGGCAATCGAAAGGACTCCTCTGTCTTCGGGCAATCCTTGTCAAACCCTGTAACAACGTTATCATGGCACATACAACTGCAAGAAACAAGGCAAAGCCATGTAGCATTCCTACAGCTGTCACTCAGAGGCTCTCTGATCCAAAATAACAGTAACAGCAACAGTAAGCTCCTCCACCCTTCAGCCTATCTCTGGTAAATTAGAATAGAGTGCTCACTTCAAAAGAAATCTTCCTGCATTGAAATGAACTGACCTTTCGAGCTGGAGCACAAGTCAAAGCACAGCTCAGCAGAGGGAGAGAGATATTGCTCAGGGCCATCCTCTCTTTTAACTCTTATACGACTGTTTGAGCTCAAACTGAAACCAATGAGGGGGAGAAAGGAGGATTTGTTGTTGTAGCAACTAGAAACACAGAGTAAAATAAAGGTTCTTTCTACACCTCTACCACCTTAAAGTAAATTTATCAGAATAGGATACATTTAGAACATCAGTCAATACTGCACTTTTTGACATTGCAGATAAGGTTATGTGTCAACTAACTGATCTCACATTGAGCAAAAGCACTGCAAAATGTTAAACACTAAGTAAACAAATACAGTTTGTTCTAGATATTCAGGGATAAAATGGCATAATTCCTCCTCACTCTCATGATTGAGACATTAAATCTTTCTTCTGTTTTTGAACTTTTAAGATGAAACATCCTTCAGGGAAACATTAGAGCTCTGCTACTCTTCTTAACAGTGACATAAGTCTCTCTGGATATTACTTTTATATGTGACTCTTTATTTCAATATGTACTTTTCATCTCTTTGCAACATTTAAAAGAAGATTGAGGCACCAGCTCTGTGTACGATTTGGGGTTTGTTTCTTTGTACACTGTCAGCCTCTTCTTTTTGCTCCACACCCTGATAACCTTGCAAACGCAAACCAAGAAAAGCAAACTCACATTGCCAAAACACAGCAGCAGTAGTGTAACAAAGAGAAATGCTTCTCCCTCTGGACCACCAAGAATCGACATGTGTTCTCGATTCAAAGACTGAGACTCTCAGAGGCATTCTCTTCAAGATTTACTCTTCACATACGCAGACGATGATGCACTGCTTCAATCTCATCTTGTATTCCGATTCAAAACCAAAAGCAATCTCCTACTCGCAGTTGTGCATGCAGGAGCAACATGATTCCTCCTCCAGTCCCCTGCTCCTCGCCTCCTTCATTCAAGCTTGCATCAATGAGATCCCACTGGAATCAAGTCTTTTCTTATTGCTGCACCATCTCCACATTCACAACACACACTCTGCCCTGCCGCCCATGAAACCACAAGTTGCCATGCAAATTACCTGCAGACATGAAGTGGCCCGTGTATGCATTTATTCTCTTTTATTAGCTTATCAACATGCATGTGCAGAAACCTGTACAGAGTGGCAAATGTCCTCTGCATAAATCTCTAAAGGCTCCAATCACAGCTAATAAAGAAAATGAAGATCCTGGGGCGTAGATGCGCTGTGGTTCTCTAACTGAATAATTATGCCGTGACTTGAGGTTTCATTCCATGTGAAGTGCAGTGAAGAGGAAATGGCAATGAGGCTGGACATTTCTTGTTAGGAAAAATGCTTTAATATTTTCCCAATTACAACTGTTAATTCGACATTGGAGGACATCGCCTGGCACTTTGGGAAACAGTGACCAACATTGTTCACCATTTTATAGACCAATGTGATAAATTAATGTTTTAGG